TTTGCATGATCTTTCTTTGCCATATATGCAATAAGGTCGACAACACGATGAGAATAGCCATATTCGTTATCATACCTTGAAAAAAGAAAAGAAAATCATGTTATTAATTAAGAATCTACAGTGAAACATACCATGAAACAAGTTTTACAAAGTTGTCATTAAGCGAAATGCCTGCTTTGGCATCGAAGATTGATGAGTGAGTATCACCAATGAAATCAGTTGAAACAACTTCATCATCTGTATAACCTAAAATTCCTTTTAATGGACCATTTGCAGCTTCTTTAATTGCGTCGCAAATTTCACTATATTTAGCCTACACATAGAAAGATAGTTGAAAATAATATTAACAAAAAGGAACCTAAGTCACTTACGCCTTTGCTTAATCGAGCAGTAAGATCAACAACTGAAACATTTGGTGTTGGAACACGAAAAGCCATACCAGTCAATTTTCCGTTTAAATCAGGAATAACTTTTCCAACCTATGTATAGGGAAGAAGAAACATAGTTATACATTTTTTTTCTCTCAGATATTAAGCATACAGCTTTAGCGGCTCCAGTTGATGAAGGAATAATGTTTTGGGAAGCTCCACGACCACCTCGCCAATCCTACACCAAAATAAAAAACTTAAGAAAATAAAAGTTTATTACTAATGACATACTTTATTTGATGGGCCATCAACAGTTTTTTGTGTTGCTGTATATGAATGTACAGTTGTCATTAAAGCTTCAACGATACCAAATTTTTCATTAACAACTTTAGCAAGTGGTGCTAAACAATTCGTTGTACACGATGCATTTGAAACAACGGTTTCATGACCAGTATATTTCTCTTCATTAACTCCCATTACGAACATTGGTGCATCAGCTGATGGTGCGGTAATGACAACTTTTTTTGCGCCCGCCTGTAAATGTGGTTGGCATTTGTCAATTGTTGTAAAAACACCAGTTGATTCCACAACATATTCAACACCTTTCAATAGAAACAAAGAAAATTATCTGAAGTTTAAAGTCCAAAAAAAAACAATGCATACCAAGTTGACCCCATGGAATTTTCGATGGGTCTTTTCTAAAATTTAACAAATTTTATGAGTGTTTAGCTTGAAACAAAACAAATTCTTTACTCAGTAAAAACGGCAATTTCATTTCCGTTGACAATGAGTTTTCCGTCTTTAGTTGAAACTTCTCCTTTAAATCGTCCATGGGTTGAATCATATTTAAACATATAAACCATATATTCAGCAGGAATAAATGGATCTATATGAACGAATTTTCATTATAAATAAATAAAAGAAACTATATGACGCACCATTGACACCAACTACTTTCAAGCCCTTTTCAAGTGCACATCGAAAAACAAGACGACCGATACGTCCGAAACCATTGATACCAATTTTAACATCAGACAACGACATGTTTAGTTCCAGATGCAGAACAACTATGGAAACAGTAATCTAAGAAAGAAAAAAAAGAGAACGACATAGAGCAAAGACGCGATATTTATAAAGATCGACCCGAGCAGTAATTTTCTCTTCTCGATACAGACGAGACAGAATTCTTCGAAAATGCCCTGTTAATACTATTAGCGACCCCTTTTAGAAAATTCATTTGTCTAATTAAATTCTATTTATTTCTTATGTACGTACGTACACTATTCTATTGAAAAATATCTTTCAAATCAAGAAAAAATATCTTTGTTCAAAAATGTTCTTAATGACCGACGTTATCGGTTATTCACGGGTATTCCGATATGAGTCATTGTGCTCTATATTTTCAGCATATACGTATATGCAAATAGGAAAGCAAATCATTTCAGGGCATTTAGTAGAACTCAGGAGCAACAATGTACAGATAGTTGTCTGATTTCTATTGACAAATTATCTACGCGTATCTTATTCTCAGTAAAAACGAAATTCAAAAGAAAAAGAAAAAGAAAAAGAAAAGAAATATAGTATTACCTGTATCTTATGATGAAAACATATGTTTTGGGATATAACAACATATAAGGAAAAAATTCTGATAAAAATAACAACAATGTGTATTTATTAATTTAAATAGATTTAATAAATATTTATTTCAATTGATTTAAATTTTACCAATAAACAATATATCGTTTAGAAAATCACAAATCACTTTTGTTTAATACTTTTTAAACAACTATAGATCTATTCAAGCTACTCTATGTTCTATGATTAATGATCGAAGGCTTCTATGATACATTTTTTTATAGATTCAAACAATCGATAACTGTATAATCAAAGTAGTTATCACAATATATTTTATGCTAGAATTGTTTGCATATTTATTTCGAGTTTAATTTCAGACTAAGATAAAATCACTGAATATGAAGATAAATGAAGTATTCATTGCTAAGTAAAAACACAGACAAGATTATGATGCAAAAAAAACTAATTCAAAATTCATTCGTTAGACTATGGTATTTTCTCTAGTGTCATCAGAAAATATAAAGCATTGCAAAAGATAAATCGGAATATTGCAATGTAAACAACCAATCTAAGCGAGTATTTACTAGTAATATTTTGCCGTTGCGCTTCAAGGCCACCGCTTGTTACTCATCTATTGTCGATGTCTATTTTTACTATGTTTGTTTGATATACTCTTCTTTGAGCTTTAACTGACTGATAGGATTCACCGTGACATTGGTTATAGAACAATATAGTAAACTGAAGTCTTTGTTTGATTTAAGGTAGATGCGACACTAATGAGTATTTTATTTATTATCACATATAATATTTTTTCCTATCAAATTTTAATTTACAGAACATATTGTAGTAAGAATATATCTGTAATCATATAGAGTATGGCACAAAAAATTAATTTTCACGATTTTGATTTTCAATAAATTTGTCGAGTTTTGCATCAATGTCAAGAAACGACAAGTACGTATATCATGCAATACATAATTCAGATAAATTAATTTTATTATAGAACTTCATTCGAAAATATATTCAAACAAAAAACCAACGAAATATATCTAGCTTACTTTTTATGTAAATTGTTTTTTCTTCGTATCTTACTAAAGAAATTTTTTTCTGAATTCTTTGGTTCAAGACTTGCTCCCGTTTGATTGAAGAACCAATCAACACTGGAAGATTAGCTGTCTATATTTATTGTTGTTTCAAAATTGATCTATCATATTTTCTAGGAAATAACAGATTTTACTAATGACTTTTGAAAAACTCTAAGGGTTGTATAGTTCTTGTGTTTTCATTGATTTCGAAAATGAGATGGTGACATTTTTTTTCTTATGTTTCAATGAAGCTCTTTGTTGCAAAAAAATATCAATTCACATGTTCGGCAAAGTCCTTTATTTTTCACTTGAATACCCACCAAGAAAAAGACAATTCACATTTGAAACAGCTAATAAAATCATGATTATGTTCAAATTTATATGTTTTAAATTTTACAACCTACATAAAGAAAAGAACTTCTTAAATATTCTATGCTTTTTTTTACATTACTAGTTTCAAAACGAATATTTTGTCGTTGATTTTCAGATTGTTTCCATTATTTATTGTTGTAAAAATTCGAAAAATATAAAATGAGATGATTGATGAGGCGTGACGGATACTTGTTTGCTGCGGCAGAATAGTATAAGCAAATATAATCATCGAAATCATATAGTATAGAATTTATAACTTCAGCTATATCTTTAATTCAATAAGAGTACAACGATACAACATACAAATTCTATTTTTGGAATGAATAATTTGTACACTCGTTGATTTTAGTATACTTATTTAGATTTAGATAGATCTACAGAGAAAAAAATCTGAATACTATAGTGAACAATCATTTTTTAAATATATTATTGTAGAATTTAATTGAAAGGATTAAATAATGCCAACAAATTATTTTTTCGATAGTGTAGCTTCGTAGACAGATGAAATGTCAAATAGAAATTTTAGAATGAACAAAATAAAACAAATGTTATCATAACTCGTATTTATTTCTAGTTATATTTTCTTCTCAAGACGATTGATTAACTTGAGATTTTAGATAAGAAAATGAATATAATATTGATGATCTACTTTAGATTTATTGATTAACAATGAAATTTATTGATGAGTAATCGAAAGGAGTGTAGTTTTTCATCATAATTATCGGAACTAAATTATTAACAATATTAATTTTAATGAATGAATTTAAATACACTTATTCTATGCTTGTTTTATGGTTTTACTGCATTCCTTTTTTAAGTTTTCAAGTCCTTTGACAAGAAATTTGATTTCGTTAGTATAATTGATTGATTACATCTTAAAATCACCTATTAACAATGTATGTGTAAGCAAACTACGTAGGATATCTAAAGCAAGATGAAGAGGATATTCAAAGATAAGACGATAATATTCTTCGCTGTTTCATCTGAACATATAATATATTTGACAGAAAAAAGAAATTTTTAATAATACTATAAATCAATATATTTTGTTCAATTGAAAGAGTACCATCTTACTAGTTTTTTCTCATTAAATACAAATATTCGATTCATTTTCAAATTTGATTTTCGTTTGAAATACTTAACATCAACACTATTGATTCGATTTACTTATAACTTACCTTTAAACGAATGTGTTGGACTGAAAGTATCGCTTACTAACGTATGTTCAATTTAGTTCTCGATTTATTATGATTATCACAATAAAGAACTATCTTGTTCATATATATGGAACTTATTACCAAAAATATCTTCCTATTAGGAATTAGAAAATATCTTGAATAACTTTTAAACTTTATATTATTTTTCTTGATAAAATGGATTGCTTTGTATTGATTTTTTAATATATTTTTTAACAGTAATACTCTTGATTTTTTCTATAATAAAGTGTGCATTCAATTAATTTAATGCTTCCTTTTTTTGAGAGTTTCATTCTACTAAGTTTGTGAATGTCATTTCCATAATATTCAATATTTCTTTTCTTTCTCAAACCACATCAAATAAACACTCATTATTATAATACATGAAGAAAAAGATGTTTGTTTCAAGAGATTTTTATTGGTATAATTGTTCCTCGTTGACGTTTCATTTGAATTAATTCGTTAAGTAAAATACGTTTTTCAGTTTCTAATTGTTTAATATAATCATCTTTTGCTTTTAATTTTTTTTCATATCGACTATTACTTCCATAAATTGAGGTTGCAATCGAATTAAATGAACGATCTGATAATTTCTGGGAAACAAAAAGAAAAACAGAAAAGATTTTTAAAATTCAAAGAAAATTACTTTTAAATTATAATCGACTTCTTGAACAACTATATTAGCTAATTTAAACAAATCAGCAACTAAATCACGATTATACAATGGCTCTGGTTCAACACCTATCGTCTATAGAATAAGGAAAAAAAATGAATACAATCGATAAAAGAAAATTTCCATTTGAAAAAAAAAACAAACTTCAGCTGTTGTCAAATAACGACAATATGATTTTTGCTTCCGTTTCATGTCATAAAGACAATCAGTTAAATAAAGTTTAACACGATCAAGTGTATTACATGTCTCAATGAGAAGGTCACGCTCGATTTCAAATTGTTTTAAAGATCGTATCTAAATAATTGAAGAACAAAATAGAAAAAGAAAACTAAACCAACTTTATTCTAACCATAGAAAAATCAATGTCATTATTTCGTTTTACTCTATTTGTAAAGTAGATAGGATTCAATGCACGGAAATTATTCACTTCTAATCCATTGGAATTCCGATTACTAGTTGGAATTTGTCGTTCAGCTTTTTCTTCTGCCGGTGAAATAACCAATACACTTGGTGAACGATTTAATGAACGCTTAGTTTTTGGAATTAAATTTGATGAAGTATTTTTTGTTGATAATAATGATCGTTCAATAGCATTTATAAGTAAATTAAATGTAATTAAATGATTGCTAGAAGTCGATTCGAATTCGAGTTCATTTAAGAAATTAAAATATGATGAGGAACAATCAAAATAACGTTTAAACACGTCAAACGGTACGTAACCACAATTCGTTTTATCCAGTATAGAAAATAATTGACGTAATGATGAAACAAATGCTTCAGGTAGAGATGATGAGATTTTTAGGTTTAAACAGTTATCATTGATAATTGAAGATGTTGAAGGAGACGCTCGACATTTTGCAGATTGAGATCGATGAAGTGTTCGTCTGTTCATTAGTTGATTAGAAATAGGTTCAAAGTATCTAAAAGAAAAAATCTTATTTGAATTACGTGCCGAAACAAGTTTTTATTAAATGTAACGGTCAATGAGTTTCATATTCTTTTGAAAATGCTGACGATAATTCTTTGAACTGTTATTAATTTCATATTTGTTTATGAATGATTTGTAAGGTTTTCGATTATACAATATGAATGGATAAGATAGAAAAGAGAATGACCTACTTATAACAATCAAGAAGGATACAAAAAGTTCATGAATAATCATTCTTTTATTTACAAAGGAAACAAAATGAAATTCATCGATTCAATTCGAAATAAAAATCAAGTTATGAACATGAGACGACATAACATATTGATCTATATGCTTTCACTGCTCAAAAAATCTCTTGTCAAATAATAAAGCACGAGCCGATCGGTGAGAATCATAATAGCAAAGTAGTTCACTAGCCGATCTATGTGTCTGTCTATATATCGCAAAGATAGTACACATCGAAGGCAAACAACAACAACAAAAAAAGAAAAATCATTTATGTTCCTAATTAAAGAAAAGCAAACATTCATCTATTAAATATAAAATCATTTTCAGATTTTCATCAAGAAAGAAAAAGAAAACCGAAATTTCTACACAATGTCTATACTGAATGAATATTAAAAGTATTATTACTATCGCTCTTTATGGATACTAGAGTGTACTTAAGAATTTACAAAGTATCGACAAACATGAAAAATAACAAGCTTTTGTCGATAATGACGCAAAATAGTTCATATCATTATTGTCTTTAACCAATAGTACTTGCATACATATATATATATATATACTTCTCACCGTTGTTGAGATACGTATGTATACGTATATAAAGATTCAATAGAGAACAGAATGAACGACTTCTTTGCACTTGAAATCAAATATGAATATGTGTATGAATCGAGAAAATTATTTTATTCGTATAATTATCATTGTTAATAAACGGCTTTCACTCGATTTCATGTTAAATTGAACTAGAATTAAAAGTTAATCGAAAACAAAAATAGTAGATCATTATCAATTTACTCGCTTGTTTATATGTACCAAACGAAGAGAATATTATGATAGGATATGGAATAGTAAGACAATAACAATGATATGCATAGGGGAGTCCATGAAAGTTAGAAAAATAAAATAATGTTATCTGATCTGTATCAATTTTCTGATACTTAGTAGTCGAGTCGATGTCATCAATTTTTCTTTGTCTGTTCTCAGCGCAATAACTAACCTTAAAAGGAAATATATGAAAAATAAGTGATGATGACAAGTAATAAATGTATGTCACTAGTTGTCTATCAACACATCAACGATTCATATCATTCAATTTATTTCCACACGCTATAAAAAAAGTTAATAGTAATCAGTTTTTGGGTTGAATATGTTAGTGATAATTATCTTTTATGTCAATACGACTTATGACCCTTTTAATGTTCTTTCATTATTCAATTTATTTATTCAAATAATGAAACATATACTGTTAATTCAAATTTAAAAAGAAAACAAAAGGATACAAGGTAGTTATTTTATTTTTGGCGAAAAAAAAATCGATTGTATTTCCATTAAATTATTATAGATATAATTTACACAACTATTACAACTACTTGAGTAATTAATCAATCTTCATTACCTAAGAATTAGTTCATAGATATTTTCTATCTAATATTTGTTGTATTTTTGGTATACATAAAAGAAATCTACTCATACGAATAACTACGAGATCATACTTTCATGAGATTCTTAAAGACATGGAGAGAAATTTTGAATAATTAATTTTAGCAAGACATACTAGCAAATATGTGTGCTAATTAATAATATTCGTAGCTATTAGATAGTCGATTAGATTTTAAGAGAAAATAAATTCAATAAATGAACAAGAAACGATAAAACCTATGATCGATTTTGTTGTTACAAATGAAAGAGTTGGATCTAAGTTGAAAGACGATTCTGTTTTCTGTTTTTTATTCTGTACAAAAAAATGAAAATTGATTACATGCAGTAATGATCTGATATAATTTTATTACAATTATGAAGATAAACTAATTTAAATTACTGAAACCACACTCACTACTTTGACCTGTTCACAGTTTTGGCTTATAATGAGTGAAAAAGGAGCTTTATTTCGTTTTTTTTCTCAAGTTTCATTGGAAAATTTTACGACGAAAAAAGTGAAAATGAATAATTTCTAAAACACAACAGATAATTTTCTTTACAACTTTAAGTTTCAGTGTCAAAGATTAGATCTCGTTCAGAGAAAATCGAAAACAAATGGTCGGGCTAATTTTAAATGTTTTTCTAACGTTATTTATTCATTACTCAATAGAATTTATGAATTTAAAGCTTCATCATAACTAATTATATTTCACTGATCGAGCATACTCTTCATTACATAAACAATTAATAGGCGACTTATTTATGATATTTACTTGGCGTTGGATCAAATGTGAAACTTATGAAAAATAATATTCGTTATTTTTTTTTGTTTGCTTCTTTATTAATAAATTGAAAGAGAAATTTTTCTACTTAGTAGAATCTAATGTCGATTCGGTAGTTTATATTGAGCGATTGTCTCTGTGATCATACTTTCAAACTCAGATGTCTCTTTGTCGGAAATATAAATCAGCTGCGAGCCAAATGATCCACTTAATCGAAGGCGTTTTGTCGACATAAAACAACAACAGCAACATAAGATGCACTCTTCTGTACAGAATTTGCAGCAGCAAGCTCTAGTTCTCACTTCATCGATTCGAGCAACATCACGTAAATATATACAATGATCATTATACGGCTTTTTACAGCAACAACCACAACAAACATAAAATTTAGTACGTCCTATATAGCGCGTATCAGTTAGACTAGTAGTATGATGATCACCAAGTCCACAGCAGCCGGTTTTCATTTCACAATGATAAAGTAAGCGTTCGCCAGGAAACATTCCAAAATTACTGTGAATATCGAATTGAGTCGGCTGAGATGTAACGAAGGGTACGTTAGATACACGAGCCATTCTAGAAAAAATTAGATTTATATTCACTATTAAATTTTCATCGAATATTAGGACAAATAGAATATAGTTAATCTAATCTTATGTATTATCTTTGCTGTTGATTATACTAATTTGATCGTAGTCGTGAAAAATTGTTTTCTTGCATATTTTATAGTTCTTTTTCAATTGCAATTTCATTGTTACAATAAATAAACATGTGATGAGTAACTAAACAAGAAATATGTGTTTCTTTCTTTTCTGGCTTCGCATAGGCCTGATTTGATGAGATTATTTTCTAAATTCCATTAGAAAATAGTCAAAACAAAGGAGAAAGTTCGAAAAAAAATAGAGATACATTTTGAAATAGCAAAAAAACGAATCATATGAATACTGTTGTTATTAATTTACATATTGAATAGTTATTGTTATGAAAATTTTAAAATGACGTTTTGAACATTTTGTAACCGTGCATAAGTTTATAATGAAAACATTCATTCGAAATGCTGAGTATCCATAATACAAGTTTAAAGAGAATCAAAACGATTAATTAAAAATTTGTTTTTCTGTTTTCCGTTCCCATAAAATTTTTCAGAGAAAATTTAAACCAGTTTTCTACGGCTACTGTATCATGAACAGTTCGGTGATTTCTCAAGTTTGACTAATATTTTATTAAATAGTGCTTGACTTTGTGGCTTGATATTGATAAACATATTTTATATGCTGATGTCTCCTCGAATCGATGAGAAGATTTATTTTTTCTTGAAATCTATTAAGAAGATGCTACATTATCAATTGCTCCTGTGAAATAAGCTTTTGGGGTGGTTATTTAGATAGAAGAGAAATGTTTCTATGGCACTGACATATAGTCGTATAATCTATTTTTCCGGTTTATTCTCTTGTTTTTTTTTAAATTTATCTAAGATTGCAATCAATGATGCTTTCAAAAAACAAATTTCCCATAAATTATGAAGGTAGTCATATGTTTGCTTTATTCACAACAGAAAATATCCATTTAGAATAAAAATAGTTTCGTAAGCTGTTAAAACTTATAACTAAATGAATACTAGCGTAAATATTTATGATTAATTAAATTTTCAAGTTGTAATGCTCACTAATATATATAGATCGGAATATTTTACAAAGAAATTGTAAGGAAAAGCTTTGTATTAAATGTTCCGTATTGTATTTTAGTTAATTATTTCATAAAAGTTTAGATCGAATCAAATCTCCGGCTTGTTTAGGTTCATATCTTCTTGGTTATTTAGTACCATTGATTTCATACAGCTTTGTACTTCATTGGTTGATTGTATTGTCAAAGATAGAATGCAAAGTCTTTGATGACACTACTACTACTTGATATTGTCTAATAGTATGAAATTCTCTTTTCTTGCCTGCTGTTTCTATTTTGACAGTCAAAATGTTTTGTGAAATGTTTTGTTCTTTGAACTCTAGGAATCTTTTTCAAAGTAAACATTTCATTTTTAAAATATGTATGATGAGTGCTACACACTCATACTGCTAACAATTAAAGATAGAGATTCGATGTGTTTTTTTCATGACATAATTTACTTGAACATATCTTAAAGAAATATTTTAAATTTATTTGATTTAAATTTTTAATAAGATTATTCGATCAGTAACATTCTATTATTGTAACATTTTACTTGAAAATGATTGTATTCTATTCATTTGCACTTTTATGTTTTTATTTCTAATGCATTAAGCTCTAGAAATGACTTAGATTTACTCGTTGTTTACATTTCATAGACTTACGAATTACTCAAAATTAACGATGATGTTTCTCGTGTATTCATTTAACAATCGAGAAATTTATTGAAAATATTTAACTGTTCAATTACATGTATAAAACTGTTCTTTTTTTGCAAGTTAGTTAAAAAGAAATGACCAAAAATCAATAGGTGATTTCATATTGTTCACTTAATCTAGATATTATTTTGTATACAACTACTCTTAAAACCATATAAACTATTTTTATTCTCAATTTTTCTCTTTTTCATAAACATTAATACGAATTCAAATCATGATTTCCATAGAGAAGTTCAGTTTTCAACAAACCTCGTCAACGTGAAAATATGTGCTACTTTTTCACACAACGAAATTGTGAAAATGAAATATTATCAATGCCGAGAATTCAGAAATAGATTTCTATTTATTATTGTGTAAAGGAATAGAATACACAAAACTTTAAAAAAATCTGATTTCTTAGTCCTCGATTATTTCAAAATACATCAGTTTGACGAGAGATATAAAAGAATGTGATAAGAAAAACACCATGTTGATAGTTGAAAGATGCCTCATTTGATTGCGAATTATTTATGTTTTTATTCTCTATAATTCCTACAGAATTGTATTAGAAAATTTCAGATAGTAAATAATTCATTTGCTATTTTTTGATGGTTCTATCCTTGGAAAAATTGCAATCTTCTATTTTTACCTTTACATATTCTTGTTGAAGATTAAATTTTTCTACTCGATTCATCCATTGTATTCATATTTGTACTTCCGAAAGAAGAAAAATATGAAATAAATTTGTTCGAATCGCTTTCGAACCACTGAATATTTCATTCATTAGATTCGTCGAATTCTTTTTAAAATGTTTGCCAATTTCAGATGGATTATTTCGTTTTTTCCTATTGATTAGTTTGAGTCAATACGATTTGAAGAATCTTTATTGAAATTAATTTATGGCGATTTCCATTGTCAATATATGAAATTAGATTGAACACTAGTGAATGAATTGAATCCCGCATTATTATTATCTCTTTCTTTTTTTCTTTATTTAAACAGAAAAAAATCATTTCAAGATTCAATTCGTAATGTATGTACTTACGATTTTGAAAAATAAAACAAAAGCTCAATTCAAAAATAAAAAGTTTTTATTAGAAAAAATATTAATGATGAGATACAAGTTTATGATTTGCTATCGCTGCTGGCATTTCAACTTGTAAATCTGGCATATCCTCTTTCAGTATATGCACTATTTGAGAACCAAATGTACCTCGAATTTGAATCGCACTTGAAGGAGGTCTACAACATCGACAGCATCGAGCAAAGAATGAACAACAACAGCACGTAGAAGTTTGTATAGCTTCACGAATTTCAACAATATCTCGTAAGAAGATAGAAGCATCCAAATGATCTGGCTGAGAACCGCAATCACAGCAACCTGTTGTTTCAGATCGACTAAGTAAACGTGTGTCAGTAATAGTTGTATAATAAATTGAAGAACATCCACATGTTCCTTCTTCAAATTTATATTCATGCAAGAACCTTTCATTACCCATTAAAACAAAACTATTATGAATCTCGTAATGACGAGGTTGTATTATAATATTAGCTGAACCGACTTTTGACATTGATAATAACTGTACAGATGTGACTGTAATAGTTTGCTATAATTTAATGTTGACTGGTAAAACAATCATCAAATGTTTCTGACTCAACGAAAAGAAAAAAAGAAAACTCACATGAATACTTGTATTTACTTTTAATGTACGATTATGTGCTTTCGTCTATTTACTTAACATAATTCGTTAAAACGAAATTTTGTACACGCAAGCACCCACGCAAAAAGAATTTAAAATGTGATTCCTTCTTTTGCGAAAGACAAATAAAACTTTGAAATAGTCTTTCTTCTTTACTAAAATAAGTGTTGAAAAATATTTTTTGTTATATACAAAACACGAGGATAAGAAAAAAACGAGAGTCATTATATTACTCGGGATACACAGCACGCAGGTTAGTTTTAAATAAAACAGAAGCAGATTAAACTCTATTAGCTTTACAAAAGTTGAATATTATATAACTGTATTGTATCTGGAGTCATTTTAATAATTTATTTGTTCTCCTTCTAATTTTGCACCTTGGCTTGAATAAACATCGTAATTAGCTAAAACATCTTGTAAATCTGATGCTTTTATTTGAACATATTTTTCTTCAGTATAACGAGGTGACGTTTCACTTGTTTCATCAGCAGCTGACTCGTAGCCTCCTTCGCCTTGAGTAACTGTATAATAACGTGTTCTTGTTGTCATCTTTGTTATTCGTCTTCCATCATTTTCCAATTCAACTTGATCAGATGGCATATCGTATACTTGTGAACCAAGTTTTGTTAAAAGATGTGTTGGAAATTTACCACCACTATTTGTATGTGATCGTACAAGCATTTCTTCAGTAAGAACGGGAGCATTTGATGTAATTCCATCTGTTCCATAATTATTTGTTTCGTAAACAACCGATCCAGAGCTATCCGGTGTATATTCATACCTTACTTGTTGTTGATCACCATATTCATTGACCAGGCCTGGTTGTGATGATGATCGAACAAGACGTGCTGTTGTACTTCCACCATAAGTTTGTCGTGATAATGATGATTGATTGTAACTTAAAAATAATTAAATTATGTACTATTGAAAGTAAACTTCTGCGAACTTTTATCTTACCCATTAAGAATTTGTCGAACATTATAATCATCTGCTTGTTCTATTGCAGTTTCTTCTTTTGCTGCAGACAATTGTTGGTCTTGCATTAAAGCTAATTCTTCTTGTAAACCTAATTCAGTCAATTTACGTTGAACGAATTCTGTTGCGTATAATTTATCTCCATGTTGTGTGTAATACCGTTGTGGATCCGCTTCGGTTATTCCCAATTTTTTCACATGTTTTACAACTTCAACCTCTGGTGGACGCCATTCAATAATAGTATTTCTTATACGAGCCGTTGGTTCTAATGGCTTAGCTTTTTCATGTATAACTTGACGTTTCTGTTTATGATATGGTAGCCAACGTTCAATAATGACAGGACGCGGTTTAGGCGGAAGATTTGGTAAACGTTCAATAATTAATTTACGAGGTGGAGGTGGTGGTGGTTGAATAATCTCTATCAAAACAAAATTTCAAATTTATCAAGAGAACTTTTTTTCTGAAAAACGAAATGAGCTACTTCTGATAATCGTTGTTGGTACTGATTTAGGGCGTGCAGGTGGTTTCTCACGAATAATGATCGGTGAAGGTGTGCGTGGTGGTGGAGGACGCTGACGAAGAATCATTGGCGGAGCTGGTGGTGGTGGTGGTGCACGAATTTCACGAATAATAATAGGCTAAAGTAAAAAGAAAAGAAAAGAAAATTATTTACGATATTTGATTGTGAATCTTCAAATTTTCGATAAATTGAAGAAGAAGAAGAAAAAAAGAATCTTACACCTGGTGGAGGTGGTGTATTGGGTTTCAAATATCTAACAGCAATATCCTGTGTATACGTTAATCTTTGTGTATTTGGACGAACAACTAATTCTGGATTAGGATCGACATTAATTGGGTAGTTTTTTACATCAGGTGTAGCTTTGGCTGTTAATGCTTGAACTTCTGCATCTTCATCTGCTGTAATTTGATATGTTGGATTTGATTGCATCATTTGTTTGATAGTTGAATCTTCTAAATACCGATTCGAGGTTGATGTTGAATATTCGATTCCACCATCCCGATAGTAGTATTCTTTAGAACCTGATCGCGGAAATTGTTCAGCATTATTAGTATAAATATCGGTTGTAATAGCATTTGAATTAGTGATTGTACCATTACTACCTAAACGATGTGCATACATTTCGTTATTTTCATCCACGACTTGATTAGTTGATGAAAGTCTTGTACGTCGTGTTCGGTTCGTTGGGACATCAAGAACATATCGACGAGGTGGTGCCAATGTCGAACCTGTAGATGAAGGAGATAATGGAACACCCGAATCGGAACTAGCAATTTTAGCACTATTTGTATTAGTTGCTCCTCGACGGCCATACTGACGATTCATTGTTGCCATCTAGAAGTTCAAATATAAAACTTTTCTAAAACCCATCATAAACTATCTGTACTCGTGTTGATTAGCAGAGAAAAAAAATTCAACTTTCAACTGATAACTATTAGTTTTATTCGGTGTTATTGAAAAAAATAAAGATACAAATAGCATCTTGTAAAAAGTGAGTTCTCATTTATATTATATTTTTGCTCATTATCAATTCAATCTCGTCTACCTTAATAAGAAGTCACAACAATTAAAAACATATTATACGCAAAACAAATGATACAAAAATGTGATGCACATACATTCATGCCGAAATATTTTGCTACATATTAGAAACAGAAAACGCATAGACATCGTTTTTTAAACATGTATTCACAATATGAAGTGACAGTGAAAATTTATGACATCAATAATGATAACAAAAACATAAAAATAAATAGTAATAATATCACCGACAGTGATGTAACACTTACCATATATTGCTATTTGTCAAGGAAAAAATCACGATTTACAATACTCTTTTTTTCTCTGATATTTTTCGTTTCACTTGCATATATAATATCTGTATTTCTCATTTTATATTTAAAATATCAATTGTAAATGGCATGTAGGCGATAAGTAACTAAATCTCGAATCAAAAATCTTTTAGCATGACATATTCATCTCCTTGACCTGTAGAGATACCTGAAAAAATAAAAATAAAGGACAAAAAACGCCTACAATAATTAAAAAGTTTGTTTATACAGGAGTATGAAGAATCAAATTCAAGAGAAGACGTTTTTTTGTTTTAATTCACTTACGTGACTTTGTCGTGTATAGTTATGATGGACACATGTACCAATGAACAGGAAAAGAAAGTACTTCTGATTTTATTGAATTGAATAATCGAGTAAGATTAATTGTTCCTCTGGCTTAGATAATGAGGAATACAATGAAAAAATATGCAACTGATGGAGGTTTCTCAGTAATCAAGTATTATTTTTCGAACATCTTGCTCATGACTATGTAAATATGCCTGCGCTATTACATTTTCTCTGGCTTCATTTTTCTTCTGATACGATTGCAACTTACATTGTAAATTCGTTTTCTTTATTTTTCCTTTCGTGTAGCTCTCATTTTTCTTTGGTGTCGATCAAAAGATTTGGCGTTGATGATGACACACGGCTACAAGAGAATACATTGTTTTTCAAAGGTCGCTATTCACCTGTCGTTGACTGTAGATTTCAAGGTCTCGTGTTGCTTCTTTTGCTAATGCTACTACTACTACTACTACTACTATTAGTATTACCACTGCTATCTGCATAAAAAACGAATCTAATTGGCATACATATGCTACGTTGTCTTAGTCACATAATATGAAAGACACTTTTTCTCTGTCCGTCTGCTTACATCCAAATAAACGACATTAGTAGTCAAGAAAGAAAAAGAAAAAAAGAACTAATAAAAAAAGTAACTGTGGCACTTTTTCTTTTTCATTTTTTTTATCAAAGAACGAAAAACTATCTATATTTAGTTTTTTTTTACATAAACTTATATAAATGTCCTTTTAAGTTTCTTATTTAGCTGCATAAATGAATAATTGTTGATTTTAACAATTAAAGAATTTTCAGCATTTTAAATTTATACTTCAGTAAAGCTTTTGTTACTGTTTTGATTATCGTTGACGTCAATATTTACTTCTTCATATCAATAGTTACAGTAATCAATAAGAACAAAAACCAAAATGAAAGTAAAGAGAAGACGAAATAGAATGTGACACCGCAAGTAGAAAAGTAAAATGTTTTCCTATATGTTGAAACTACAACAGAATATTCGATGCTTGAAAAGAGCACATGTAAGACGAATGCGACCTTTGCTATTCATTGTGTCAAATAAATCAAACAGAACATTTTTTTTGTTGCTATAAAATGTCAAAATATTTGGTTAAGTGTAATACCTAACTACACATGAAGATATATTTCTATTACGATCATTGAAATTGATGTATCGTTAGTAAAAAACATACGATGCCAGTTTTCGTTATTATGCATCATAAAATATCTTTATTTACAGAAGAATATTGTGAGTCGTTTATTATCAATTAATATTTCACCAAGGTCTTTTCATTCACTAATTTTCGTCATAAACATGTTACAAGCAGAATTACAATCAGAAAATATGAATAATAATTTCATAAACGATTATTAAACACTTATCATTTTCTAACTAGACGTCATAATAATTAATCATTTTAAAACAAATTATTAAAAAGTACGCCATGATTTCGTTTGAGTATGAATTAGTGTGCCTAACAATGAATGCTTTCCTCGTGCATACGTATTCAGAATATTTCTTCATAAACAAGGCAATTATTCTGTATCGTTTATATAAAATTCATATTTGTGTGAGAAAGAATTTTTCTAGAATTATACACACAACTCAAACCATTTAAAATTGACTTTTTAAATCAAAGTTTGCAGCTCTCTGCATACTAAACGAACACAGTTTACATTTTACTAGATGAACCGAATAATATTTCTATTTATTTATGATTTTGTTTGATTGAGAAAGTTAATGAATAATTAGCGGACGACTTTCTCAATATCAATTTTCTTTTGTACAAGTTCTACGAATTACTTAGATCTAATGGTCTATCTATTTCATTCTTTCGCTTTAATACATTTGACCATTACCTATATCTATAATAGATATCTCTATTGTATATTAATTGTACATAACTGAAATAGTATGAACTCTATTACAGAAAATTATCATAGTTAAATAAAATATTCGAAAGTTACTTTTTAATACATACACAAAATATAATTTTTTTTCAGTTATATTGGCCTAGGGGCACCGATATTGAATAGAAGTAGATTTGTACTATTTAATATTTACCTTGTTCTCTGAAGTTCTTCAGCGAGGCGTATTTCATTTATATGGTAATATTTATATAATATGCATTTCATTAATGTTTCTTGTATAATGTTGAAAAATATGACTGTATGCTTTTCAATTATGGCAAACATATATTGCAATAGGTCATCAAATATTGTTTATTTGTTAGAAAATCTATTTCTAAACACAGATTTATGTAACTACTAGTAGTAATATAGTAGCTACCTGTATGATTCACTCATTCATCTCGGTACCTACTTGGTTTCTTCAATAATATCAGACTGACTACTCTGAAAAAGTGTGTACGATCACATCATTTATATAATTATTATGAGAATAAGCTTATATTCATGTTAATTAATGTCTTTCGATCTTTACAAAAAAAAGACATTATGAGATTGATAATATTTTATTGTATCTCTTTTTTACAATGGATTGGATACTCTTTATTATGATAATGATAAATATCTTCGAACATCAAATCGTAATTATGGAGAACAGTTTTGTAAAAGTTTGTAACGAATATCTCAGTATCACTTTTTATGGATCTAATATAAGAGAAGAATTGAAGAGTTTTTCAGAAAAATATTTTTCAAGCAAATAAACTTGTTCTAAAAGCTACAGTTAATGAATACTTGTAAAATAATCTTCTTTTTTTTTTATTATACTCATAGCCTCTGAGTATGAATCACTGAGCGACGGTCGAATACGAGATCTTTTTTTCAGGATTTCAAGCTACTGAAAATCATTATTAGTAATGACCACAAATGACGACTTGACTGGATGGTTAGCAGTTCTAAATGGTAATGAATACTACTTTCTGCGAATAAAACTATTGGATGCAAAAAATTATAGTTATAACGCAAGAATGAAAGTTGATGTATTAGATTATGAAAATGTATGAATTTATTGTGATTCCACTATTGCTCTGTGTTTTTGTTTCCAAAGATAGTTTTTTTTATCATTGAATTTAAGAGTTCGTTGTCACATCATTTTTTTTCCTACCAAAATCTTTTAATAGAATGAATCTCAGTGGTAAATATCATCAGTTTTCTCATCAAACTAATAAAAAAAACACAATTTAACTGAAAGATTATATTTTATTTAAATGAAACATGTATATTTATAATTACTATTTTCTTGTTTCTAGTTGCTATCCTATGAAAAATGAATAAGAAAAAATGATTCGTTTCTCAACGTCAGCAAATATGAATATAATTCAGATCAGAGCAAAAAAAATCGAAAATCTTCATTTGTTTTACTAAATGAATAGATTAAATCATCATTGAGATCAGTTTACTCGATATTCTTTACTATATTTGTAGCTTTGACGAACATATTAACAAAAGAAAGTTTCTGTTAACAAATATTGATGCAGTGATTTTATTGCATTTGTTTGTGAATTATTGATCGAAGAAAATAAACTTTATATTAAATTAATACTCGGTAAGAAATAGTCATGCTATGTAGTAAAAGAACAATGGAAATATCCAAAAACAAAATTTGAATTTCACATTGTTGCAGGATTTGTTTTTATTTTACGCAACTTATCGGCATGTTGTTCGTGTCATTTTAAAACATTCCTATGTTGTAACAAAACAAAATCTACTAACGACAGAAATAGAAGTATAGATGCAAAGTTTTACGTTCTCCTGAAATCTAGATTGAAATTATTCAGTAGAAATAAAAAATTGACTGAAAAAATGACGCATGCATGAACTCAAGCAGATTCTTTAAACTCGTGACAGCATTGAGTATGTTAGTGACCATGGGAAAATTGTTTTTCAATCAAACCATTGATATAATTCCATTATTAAGTTCAACATCATCGTCTATACTTTCATATATAACATCATTGTAGGTATCACTATAGGAAATTAATATTTAATAAAAATAAAACGAGCGACATCTTCGAAATAGCGGAGGCTTCTACTAAAAATTTGCATTGGTAGAAATTCGCAAATGAGCTTTTTGTGACGGACAAACAAACTGATTAGTAGCAGACAGTGTTTTCAACGGCAAGTGTACACAGCAGAAGCAAAATGTACAGAACATCTGCTAGTTTTGATTTAGACTCTGCTATACATTTGCCCAGAAAAACAAAGTGTACAATGTACACTTTGCTAAAATAGTTTACACTCTGATTTCTTTGATCTCTGAACCTTAAAAGTCACATATGGTTTTTAATTAATTAAATATGCTATTTTTTTGCTCGCTAGTGATCAAAATGTTTGCTTCATGAAATAAAAAATAGCGAAAATTATATTTTGTTTTCTAGATTGTGAAAATTGGGCTCTGATACACTTTGCTGAAAAAAGTAAAGTGCAATGTACACTTTGCTCATAAAAAAACAGAATGTACTGTACATTTTGTTTTAGATTTCCATTGAAAACACTGGTTGCAGAGAAAGACGGTGATAGGGAGTTCAGCGAATATGATTGATAAATGAACATAATCAGAAAGTTTTATGTATGAATCAAACTTGAATTTATGTTTGTCTCTCTCTAGCAATATCATCAAAAACAAAGTGCATGCTTTATTAAAATAGAACATTGTTTCAGATAAAATGATTGTACCTCGTCTTCGAAGTGAAGCCCGTGGTGGAACATCGTCAGGTTCATCGAGTCGTTACAGTAATAGTGGCACTGTTTATGGAGGTAAAATTCATCATGCAAATGATCCTGATCTTAAACGAGCCCTACAATATTCGTATGCATCGCAAGCTGTACGAAAATGGGAAAAGCGATGGGTAACCATTCATGAAACATCTATGCGCGTTCATAAATGGATGCCAGCACCAATGCTTGCTTCACAAAATATTACTGAAAAAATAGTTCCTGCTACTACAAACAATACTGATCAAGAGCAACCACAAGAGCAAGAACCAGAGCCTGCATCGATTGCAACACAAGATACTCAAATGATTGTTGATGAAGAAAGCACCAGTCAATCAAGTCAAAATTAACTAAAACTTGTTGTCTATTATTAATATTTTCTATGTATGAAATAGCTAGTTTTTCTTTTTTACTTTGCTTGTACAAAGCTTGATGTGTACATGTGTATGTCCATGCAAAAGTTATCGACACAAAAATATAGAATCAATAATTATGTTAAAATTTTTTTCTTAGATTTGTACTAACTAATTATTAAACGGTTTTATAATATAATCTACGATGTTTCATGTTTTAAAAGATATACTCTAGTAGGTAACCAGTACACAAGCTCTATGACCATAACTATGCAACTATCAAGCACTTGTTATGAATATTCGAGTATTAAAAAGTATTTTTAGAAAGATACTCGACGTCAGTCTTGGTTTATTCCCAATATTATATATTTTTAGCAATTGAAGATCTAAATAGATAGCTGATTTGTGTTTAGAAAATAGCTAAGTGATCAATGATAATTCACTATTATAAATTTGATGTGTCTTATCTAGTTGTAATATAAGTGCGTAAAAAAGTTTACTTCGAATAGAATGAACGATTCTTCGGTAATAAAATAATAAATTGTACAAAAAGAATTCAAGATTATAGTTCGATAGAATTAAAAATTTGGGAAACTTGAAATACCCTTATCATGGTACATTTTGCAGCAAAATTATTCTTTGCTTTTTCATTTCTGAATATATTTTTTTCTTGGAAGAACAGCTATGAATAATCCCGAAAAATGAAGTGTGAATATTCTTGAAAGATATCTGCATGTGTATCGTAAACGTATTTGTTATAATTAAAATCATGATGCTCCGATAGGATTTGTTCTTTTCGAATACAAGACTCTAGCATTATTTTACAAGGTCAGATTTCCCACGTGATAACTCACTGAAACAAATCTTATCTTCGTTATATCAAAATTTAACAAAACAATTGCTAAGAGATAGTGAGCAATGCGGTATGTTAGATGATGTCTGATAAGATGTTACAGTATGCGGAAAATCATAATCTGTTAAAGATCTTAACTTTTCACACAACGAGCATAGATATAAGGAACTTAACACTTGATAGAAAATAATTAGAAATTAGCACAATTTTTTGTTTCCAGTTAATAATTCATGTCTATTATAATTTGAAGACGGTGGAAGTCTACTGATGCATTCTTAACTGAATAACATTTGTTATTGGTTGAACTAATCGATTTCTTTTGAAAACTTCTCTCATGTCCGATGAGCCAAAAAGACAGACAAATGGACAAAAAACACAAGCTACATATTGAAAATAGCAAAGATAAGCCGAATAAAATTCTGTTAAAAATGGAGCCGATGTAAAAAAATGTAATGACAAAGCAAATAATGCAAGGTAACCATACGATCATATGCAGTGCTGATAAAGGAACTAACTGTATAATTATTCGTCGACGACGTTGCCATATTGTTCGATGAACTCCTGGTCATTGATGTTGCCACAAAACACGAATTATGATTATCAATGTAGCCAGACTACTCAAGATTACATTTAAACAACCGTTCACTATCCAATCGAGTGGACCAAGTACAGGCTAAAATATATCATACATTATTAAATATGAATCATTTCATGATCTGGAAATCAATAATTAAGAAGACAATCAGTCTCATTAACTTAAATCTAGATTAAGCAGCATTTTAGAGGATTTTCTTGCAAAGATGGTAGTGGCACGCATAGAACACACTTGCCTATAACATAACATTTAGCTTACTTCATAAATATAACATGGACCTCCACATGTCCAATATGAGTAGTCAAACATTGTCTGACACGTATATCTAATAACTAAAGAAATGTAGAGTGCTAACGGATAGATAACACATAATGCCATTGGAATACAATGAAATAGGAAGATGTATTTGTCGAAAAGTCTTCAATGAAATATCAGTAAATATCGATCAATACTTGCTGTACTCATGGTCCATAAACCACTGCTGAAACATATATAATTAAAAATAACCCAATATTGACAAAATTCATCTGATAAAATTGCAGCTGAACCAGTTCTCAAGAAAATTAACTCAACGGAACTTTAATTTTAAAATCGTTGATTTTTATTACCTGTATAAAACTGATGATTAATAAAAGAAGAATTACGTGATTATTAACTAATCGTCACAGTTCACGGCATCGAATGAATTGCTAAAATATTAAGATTGAACATGAACCTGATACTACACTTAATATAAGTAAAATGACCAAAAATAGTCAAGCGACTTTAACAAGTATCGAGATGTACCATTGCCTGCTGTAAATAATACTTTATTAATGAATATTAAATATAGAGTGAACGAAAAAAAGAATAATATCAGTCGAAGCAAGAGTCTTCTCTTAAAATCAGAATACAAATTAGGAATAGTCGAGAACTACACACGATTTGGAGTTTACGTTGTTCTGGCTTTATTTTTTAAAAGACTGGATAGGTACATGAGGAATCGCTTATCAATTGATCATTCTGATTTCAGTTAGGTTCTCATGTTGTTGTTCAGAATGTCTGCAATTGATCATAAAAGGTGCGTAAATTTATTCAAAGCTTCCAGAAATGTCCACAGGACAGGGTTACCCTGCCCTGAGCAGGAACAGGGGAAAAATAAAATCTGCCCTGCCCTGAACAGGAACAGGGTAGGCCAGGGAAATTGCAGGGCAGGACAAGGTGAGACCCTATACCCTGCAAATGAAAACCCAGTTGTTTGGATTTCCGTGCTGAAGAAATTTTTCCTTTAGTTCGCAAGACTCATAAATAAGAAAATAGACTCCAGAGAACGACGCAAACTGATAGTTAGAAATTTCTCTATCTGATCTGGTCCATATAAGCCACGACCCGTTTCCACTGAAGCTGCTCAATCAATAGTCGCCGGTTGACTCGTTTTTTACGCTCGATGGAGACAAGTGTTTCATG